AAAGTGTTAATCATCCTAAGTCTTCAAACCTGCTTTGCCTGAATTGTAGTCAGGCCATATGCTTTACTGCCTTCAACCATTAAAGGATCAGCATCCAAGGCAACTGGAATCTGAAGATTAGAGGAGCAGATTATCGCCAACTGGTCCACAGTCCTGCTGGCCTCCTGTTTAACAGGAGGCACTGAAGTGAGTGGAAGTGGGTGATGAATTGTGTTTCCAGAAGAAAAATGATGTTCAACTCATGACATTAAACAGAACAGAAGAGTGAAACTACCTGTGAACTTGAAAACAGGAAGAAGATTTATTTTGGGGAAATCTTCAAAGCTTTCATCTGTTTCTCTTCTTTTGTATCAGGAATCTTTAAAGTTGGTTGTGCTTTGAAAATTGAGCAAGCAGGTTAACAAAAGGCCTGGCATCCTGTTTCACAGAATCTGAATCCCATGTGAAGAGACACCAGCGTAGGTCTGTTTCCATGGATGGAGGTAAACACTTGCAGTCCTCTGCTGATATCAGTTTCTTCAGGGGGTTGCCCCTGGACTGTGGGAGGCGAGGTTTATTGTTTCCCAGCAACTGTATCCTCCAGCCACAACAAGGCACTCCCCGGTTGTAAGCCAGAGGCACTGCTGAGTGAAATGATAACACTCGGTAGTTTGCTTATAGTACAAAAGCGTGTGCAAACCCTGACCTGCACATCAAGTTCTGGCAGAAAATAAAGAATATCTTTGATATATATTCAAAACCAGGATACATGGACACAATTAAACCTCTGAAAAAACTGTATACAACTGAAAGAAAGGCCCATGAACTCTAATTGAAAGTCAGCATTTAATCATTTGCTATCATAAACGTGAAGACTTATCATAGCTGTTTGTTTTTTGCTTGTATCCATTTTTATAGCCTATATAAGATGCACTATAAATAAAATAATGTACGATTAATGGACATATTTTCTATTCATAAGGATTTTCTCATGTGCAACATTTGAGGCCAAATGCGTACAAACACTGTGTAAAATGTCATATTCATATTTATCTCGCTGTCTGAATTAGACTGAACTCTTCCATGACAGAAAAACTGAATCTTGTGAAAAGGTTAAAATACTTTTTGCAGTAATTTAAAAAATAAAAAAGGGACATTTTGGTAATTATGGATTATAGACAATGAAACTAGGGCTGAAACTAATGATTATCTGGTAAATCGATTAAGCTGTATTTATTTTTTCAGTTAATAGATTAATAATCGGATAGACAAAGGTTCCTTAAAGAAAATCTGTTTACAAAATCAAACCAGGTGAAACTAAAGCGTTTCCACTTGAGGAGTTCTGGATAGAGCATATTGACAGATGAAAAATTATTTTTATCTTAAATGCAAAATATTTATATATATTTTGGTATAATTACTGCTCTAAGGGGGTCACTCTGTCAGCTAAAGGCATAATTTACACTCTCTATACTTCAGTTAACGATTATCGATTACTAGATTAGTTGACGATTGTTTCAATAATCGATTAATCAAAATTAATCCAATTAATTGTTTGAGCCCTAAATAAAACCCATAGTGCAGTGTCTCTGAAATGTGACTATTATGTAAAATGAATGAAGAACTGGGTATTAGATAGATTCTATAGTCCGTATGCTGTACAGCTCAGTGCAGTAAACATGGCCATTCCAAGAAACGTTCAACTAAACCGTTCAAGCTTGGTCATGCCTCGTTAAGTTCCCCCAAATTCTTGAAATTGGTTTTCTATGGCAGTTTATGTTATCAATGTTGCTGAATACTCGTTTCCTACCACACTTTTCCCTTCCATTCAATTTTATATGAATATTTTTCGATTCAGCACTCTGTTAAACAACTACCTTCTTTAGCACCAACCTTTGTGGCTCATCCTCCTTTTTGAGGGTTTTAATGACTATATTCTGGATATCCGTCCAGTCAGCAGTCTTCCCATGGTTGTGTATCCTTCTGACTCAGACTGAGACCCCATTATAAAGGCTTATGAAACCTTTGCAGGGGTTGCCAGTTCATAACCTAATTAGGCTGTGACACTATTGGTTCTTCAATACTGCAACCCTTGACAATGTTGTCTGAGGCACATTTTTTATGCTTTAAAACCCCTAAACCATGATAATCACTAGCATAATATTTGCATGGACATCAATCTGATAGGAGTTGTACATTGAAAAAACAGGCCAATGAAAAACCTTTTTTTAATCAGAGGTAAACTTGCTGTTTTTTTTCTGTATTATTGCCCATATTAAGGTTATCATCTGCTGGTTGGATGATCATCCTCATGATCTATTGTGGGAAGTTACTGAGGTCCTCAAGCAGTAAAGCAGCATTACACCATGTTGGACTGTGATGTTAATTTGCTGAAATGATGATATTAATAATTTAAGATGCATGTAATCAGATGCAGACCTTCCTATACACTCTACCTTTGTCTTGTCACAAAATATTTTTCTGTAAGGTATTGGAGATGATCAAGACATGTATTTGTTTTGTTCTGCTCTGATTCATACTTTCAAACCCTTCCAATGATACAATTTCTGCTAATTTCTTAGTTTTCAATTATGAAGTGTGTATAAAGACACTGATTGGGGACTTAGAAATACAGTTGAACACAGAGAGCAATTTAAAATTTCCATTGCAAACGTTTGCAGGGGGGCATAGGGAAAGACAAAAAAGCAGAGAGAAAGTCCTTTTTTAGGCAAGGCTCAATGTGGGACAGTAAAAGAGCTAGACATGAGATTTGATAAAACTGAATCAGGCAGATAGGGAACGCTGTACCTTTACGACAGACAAGGCTTTCTATAATCTGGCATCAAATGTCAGAAAAAAAAAACATTCTCTATAAAGGAAGAGGGGCAGGTGCAGCAGATTGGTTTAATTTTTCCAGCAATGGCAGAGTGAGCAGATGAGAGCAATGATCCAGACAGTTATGAGAGGAAAAATCTTAGGGTCACTAGACAATGGAACCAGAATCAAAACACAGTGACCTAAACTGAGGCCTGCAATGGTTTATATGTCTTCCAGGGTTCTCCTGCTACCTCTTGGATTAGTTGTCACAGCCTTTTCGTTGTTATATCTGTAGAATAGCTGCCTCAGAAAAGGTTTGTCTCTCTAGCTTTAAAATCCTTTGCAAACTGATAGATGTCACAAGTTGCATTTCCAAAAACCATCAAATTGCACAAATTGTAATTACCAAAATACATTTTCTGAATGAAGATTCTTTAGTTTCAAAATAGCTGAATTTTTGGATAAAAAAGTTTTTACGCTTCAGTAGAGTGGTTTTTCAGTTGCATTATTATATTTTGCAAAACTGCAACGGAAGCCTTTTTTTGAATCACTTGAGTCATGCGATCTGTTACTAGACCTTACTGCCTTGTAAGAAGACGAAGAAGACTGGAAGTAGCTGGATAATGATGTTGTGGCATATTTGGATTCATAAGGAGGCTATTTTTCAAGTCGCAGTGATGAGGGCGATGATCTTTAGAGCCATGATTGAAATATATCTCATGTAAGGGTTTACATCCACCTTTTTTAAGAATTATTGACTGAGCAAACATATTCATGTTCTATCTTAGTTGCATTTCTTATTTAACTAAAATACTGCAATTGTGAAAATTGGCATTTTCTGAATTAGTGCCATATCAGCATTTTTATTGTAGAGACACATCTTGTATCTTCATTTTCTTTCAGGTATTTTCTGATATTTAATAGTAATGACATTTTTTTTATATCACCTTATAGTAAGGATATGTTTCATATATAAGTAAATAGATCCAGTCTCCTTTATTATAGTGACCAGTTTAACCAGCGATATTGAACCTTTACAATTCCACCACTCTGCATAACCTTTCTTACTTATCACATTTCACTTTTGGGTTTGCTTAGTTATTTTTGTGCAGAGATGATAAAATATAAACTATATTTTCACACATTTATCACTGAAAGGGAGTGACCATAGAAGCTGTGCAGCAGTCTGTGGACTGACTCTCATGATCTGAGTGTATGTGGTGGGAGGTGGGGGTCCAGAGGGGGCTGAGTGGCTGCTTTTTTGTCTTTAGGGCCAATCAGGAGAAGGGTTAGAGCCTTGTGCTACGGCAGTGTTGCATTCACTTACCGAGGTGCATGTTTACATTTCTGTTTTTGTGTGTTTTGTTTTCCTTTAATAACAAAATTACAAAACCTACATATTAAACTGTAGGTATTATGAATACCTTAAATGTAATGTCAATTGTAGAGTTTTTAATAAACATTTCAATACAAAAATGTGTTTTTTGTTTTGTTTGTTTCTTTCTATTTTTTTTTTTGTGTGTAACAGGTTTATATTTTCCTGATTTAAACTCTTCAATGAGCTCTAATTAAAAATAACTGAAATTGTTCTCCCACTATGACCAAGAAGAAATGTCATTCATTTGGCCATAAGTTTAAAGTTTACGAGCTGCGCCTGAAGGCACCACATTTCCCAAGGAGAAAGAGACCCGCAAAGGAAACGGGTCGGGCTGCTTGGATCCTCCGGTGAAATTTACGTGAAGATAGTGGAGTTTTTATTTTTATTTTTCCACGCATGGTTCAGGAGTGAGCGTTTAGTGCGGGGTTCCTGTTCCGGAGCGGCTCGCTGTGAAGCTGAAGATTGAGGAGCAGGACTCCTGGCTGCAGGGGCTGTGATGGAGCATGAAGCGCTCTGAGTGAGTAGATTCAGAGGTGAACACCTGCTGTTTGCATTCTCCTGCATCCAGAGATGTTTCACTTTAATGCATAGCAGCCTCATGCTGAGGTTGCATTTATGGCTTTAATCTATTAGTGCCTTAAATGATGATTCTGAGTTTTGGTGGATCCTGCAGCCTAAAGCAAAGCACCAGTTCTCAGTTTACTATAGCTTTCACTTCTGGTGGTGAATCATGTGTTCAGTGGTCCAACAGCATCAGATAATAATGCAGCACTGTTCATAGATTAATATACAGCAGGGAACCCTATCCAAGAGTCCTATCAAGAAATAAACACATTTTTTTTTTTCCCCTCTATTTTTATATAGAGTTTTATAAGATTAAAAAAGAAACCAACATCTATGAGGTGCCCCCAGGGACATAAATCAGAATTAACTTGCATATACATATATTAAATTACACTCTTCCATATAATATACTGAAAACCTCACAAAAAAACTACTAAAAAGCTCTCACATAAACTAGTGAAAACATTGACCTCTTATATAATCTACTCAAAAGCTCTCATACAAAGTAGTGAGAACTGTTCATATAAACTGGTGAAAAGCTTTACCTTTCATACACACTATTAAAAAGCTCTCATATACACTATTAGAACGCTCTCATATACACTATTAGAACGCTCTCATATACACTATTAGAAAGCTCTCATATACACTACTAGAATGCTCTCATATACACTATTAGAACGCTCTCATATACACTATTAGAAAGCTCTCATAT